CCAACCCATATGCATGTAATACATGGACGTACGTATTTATGTACCTCTGTTCGAGTGATGCAATGGTGTGTGCCTGGTGCCGTGTGGTCTCCTCCAGGTGCCCACGCACCCGGCGCAGCTCTGCTCCCTCCTGCTCAGTGATGTCCAAAGTCGACCGCACCTCGTCCAAGGACGACTGTGCACTGGACACATTCAAACATTCATGATAGGGCTGTCTCTCTCAGACCATGTGTGTATGTGTGTGTGTGTGTGTGTACTTTTTGAGGCAGAGATCTTTTCTTCGTATGATTGCAGTCATCTCCTCTAGCTGCCGATGGGCCTCCAGCAGCTCCACCGACTCACTGAAGGCATGAACAGGGCATAGCGGTGCTCGCGCGAGCGTCCTGTGTCGATATGTGGATACCTGGCAGCATGGGTTTGTTTGTCCTCCTGTGCCCGACGAACAGCCTCCTGCACACACACACACGGACAACACACACACACACATGAAGACCAATAATCTGGCAAGGCGCCCTGCGAGTCGGGTCCTTCTGTCTAGCTACCTACCTACCTTGAGTGTTGCGATGTCTTGCTGCAGCTTTTCTACGGCTCTCTGATGGCGGGCAGCCTGCATCTCGACCATCTTGTCAGTCTCCGCCGCCTGCACACACAACGCAACATCACACGCACACACACATAAGCGTACCGACACCCCACCCCCACCCCACCCCACCCCACCCTCCTCATATATATGAGTATCCTCCTACATCCCACCCACCCACCCACCTGTATCTCTGCGGCCTCGCGTCTCTCCTTTTCGCGTTTGAGGTCCATCTTGGCGCGCCAACTGTCACGGGAGAGGGCCTCCACAATGCCGGTCACGTCCAGGCCCTCATACACACGGCTGGGGAACGAATACACAGAGGCCCTGTCCGCTCCCCGTGGTGCTGGGGGACTCTTGGCTACTGCTGCTGCGGCGGCCGATCGCTTGGGCGACAGGCGGGTGCTACACGACTCCTTCGATACACGCTCAGCCTGACCACACACCTCACACACACGTGCATATCGCCTGGCCTCACTCGTGGCCCGTGGTCCCTCACCAGGTCTATGATTCGATGGGTGCTCCAGAGTGCCTCCTTGATGGCACACTGTGTGTCGGATCCCAGCAGGGCGGCCGACACATACTGGAGGGTGGGTGGGTGATGAAACACCTCGAGCAATGCGAGGGCGTCAGGCGTGGCGGGGGGCGTTTGGGCCATGGCTGTCTCCACGGCCAGCACCAGAAGGCTGAGGGCTACGGAAGATGCGCCGCTCGCAGATGCGGACTTGACTAAAAAAGGGCGGGCGAGACACGACTCATCCATCCATCCATCCGTCGTGTATGCCCTTCCCTCGCTACTACTTACTCTCATCGGTAAAGGCGCATTTGCCGAGTATCTGGATGGTGTGTTGGATAAAGTCCCCCCAGGCCAGCATGTCGAAGAGCAGCCGTGCGATAGCCACCCTGGCACCCATGTCCCGGTGAGGCCCCCCCTCACCCACACCCGCGACGTCGACCTCCATGTCGTTGTCCCGGAGGGTGTCGTCTGCCGGTTGTGGTGTGGGTGAGGCCCGCTGACCGTCGGGGGGCGACTCGAGGGACGGGTAGAGGACCCTCTTGGGAGGGGATGACGACCGCCCACCTGTATCATGGATATTACATACATGCCATGGACATCGAGATACACACTGGATGGCCACGGGTGGGCTGGCGCTTGCCTTTTGGTTTGGGTTTGGTTGGGGTCTGTTTGGGCTTTGGTTTGGTGTCATTTTGTGGCACATGGATGCCCGCTGCACGAGCCGCACTCGTGATGAACGACTGACGCGAATCATCACTGATCGACAGACAGACAGACAGACAGAGAGACAGAGAGACAGATAGACAGCAGCACACATAACAATGAACACGAAGTGGGAGAAACAGCTTGTCCTGCTCTGCTGTGTGAGTTACGTACGTGAGTGAGAGAGGATCGAACCCTCGCGGACCTCCACGGGCCAGGGCCTGCACGGAGCAACGGACCGGAGGACCGACACATGCTCATCAAACACGCTCAGTGACATGACCTGCACGTCCTCTCAGGCACCCATGTCGTATCCCTCAACCCACCCCCCACCTGTATGAGTCTGCATGACTCCACAGCCACCTCAGGATGGGGCGACAGGCAGCTGTCCATCAGCGACACCAGGCGAACAGACTCAACACGACCGTTGCCACGACTGAGGCCCTTCAACGAGATACTGACAGAAGATGACCTAAGAAAGAAAGAAGGATGGATGTCAAGCCGGCCTCTGTGCCGTGTCGTTGTATACGTACTTGTGTGCGAGGTCGGCCATGAGTGTCTGGGTGACGGCGAGTGGCTCCCACAGCCGTTTCTCATACTGCCGGACCGCGGTGTCCCACAGCCCGATCAACACGCCCTCGATGCCATCGAGACTCTCTACTCTCTTCAAGAAGTCAGGCCGACTCGCAACGTCACGCAACAACGCACCTGCGCTCCTGCAATAAAGGCAACACAGTGAGCCGCAGATACAATACATAATGTGTCTACGTGAGAATGTCTGGGCTTGTGCAGTGCACCCACCTGTAGAGGAGCAGTTGTTTGCTCTGATCATAGGCAGCAGTCGCCCCCTCCTGCCCTCCCCCGCTCCCTCCCTGACCTCCGCCCTGCGATTCGATGGCACTACCCAGCTCACCATACGTGCCAAACAGCCCCCTGACGTTGGCATCATCGAAGAGGCGAGCACTCAGCTTGGAGTCGCTGGCGAGCGTCAGGATGCAGGCCATGCCGTGGACAACCAGAGCCTTGTGTGCCGCCTTTTCAGCCGTCATGATGGTGCGCATCAGGGCCTGGCACACGTCACGGAGGGGCGGGAGGGTCAGGCCGGTTGGCACCTGGCCACGCCGCACCCAGTCCCGCACAGTGGGGGCGCGATGGGTCGACGCGGACAGCAGCCACAGGCAGGCTAAACACACACACAAATGCAGCATCTGGCAGGTATATGTATGCAGGTGAGCAAGTATTCTTCCTGCCTCCCTTGTGTGCTCACCGGCCAGCTGCGTGTAGCCATCGTCCTTCCCTCCACCGGCCGCTCCCTTGTCGCTTGCATCCTGCTCCCCGCCCTCTTGCTGCTCCCTTGACAGCCGCTCACACAGGGCCAGGATGGTCCGCAGCAACCCATTGACGAGCTCGCCATCCAACACGCTCACCACGGCCTCGGAATTATCAAGACCACTGGCATAAACTGCCAGTATGTTGATGCAGACCAGGGCTGAAGCACAGTGCCGCTTTGCCAACAGGCCGAGCGGCTCATCAGCAATGAACGGCAGGAACCACTGCTTGGCCGTCTTGGCGGCTGTCGATAGGACGTCAGGGCAGGCCGCTAGCAGAGCTCTCCGAGAGGTCGCATCGGCACACAGGGCCGCCAAGCCACTGAGATGCTCGGCCAGGCCTGGCTGCTGGGGATCCTCTGCGCATCGCTGGGCCGCTGCTGTGGCTTTGGTGACGAGCTCCTGGCGCCTCTCATCGCTGATCTGCCACAGATGCAGCGGACGCACGTCGGCGAGCATTACTGAGTCATCTATGGACGAATCCCTTGAAAGACTTCCAACTTCTGTGCAGAGAGATGCTGCGGCGTGTCTGAATCCAGCGTTCAAGGTAATGCGAGAGCAAAAGACGACCGAGGAAGTCGATCGCTTCGTAGCGCGCTTGCAATCTCCCCTCGACGCTGCTGCTGCTCTCCCCTCGACAAAGATCCTCCCCTCAGCGTGCCTTGGAGTTCCCTCTCCCCTTCAGCGCTTGCCCTCTCCGCTCACTCTCCCCATCGCTTCGTGCACCAATGGATTCGACTCCTCTGGATGCAGGCCTGCTTGCGCGTCTGCTTCAGGTGGGTGCATTTGTGAATTCTGGACGCGGGACGGTGGTGTGGTGTGGTTTGATGTGTCAGGCGGGCGTCCTTCCTCGGGAATATCTGGAATTTTCCCTCGAGGATAAGCTCAAAACGCTTGATTCGCTGCAATTCGCAGAGGCCCCCGACAGGAGTTGTGCCGGTATGCGCGTAGGCACGTGTGGACGAAAGACACGACGCGCACCCGGCCACACGACAATGAGCATCTACTCTGCTTGCACGTGTCCGTTTGTGTGTGTGTTTGTGTGTGTATATGTGCAGATGGATCAAGGAAGGAGATCACATCCGGAGATTTAATTCCCGTTGACGAAGTCATGCATCGGACACTCTCCGCCAAAGGCGTGCCTTCCATTGCGCTCTCAAGTGAGGATTCTGACGTCTTTATCGGCCAGCAGGATCTCGAGGAAATGATGAAGGACGTCAAGAAGTGGTATCCCCTGACGATCGGCTCTTCGCGAATCCCTCCCATGGCGCTCACCCGCCACACAGGCGGTGGGAAAACTCGCATGCTCAAGATGCTTGGTACGCGCAGTTGCGAGTATACGTGTCTGTCTACCATGATTAATTACATCATGACAAGTGATTGATCTTGCAGGACAAGCGCTGCGCGACGAGAAGATGAATTGCATCTTCATCACCTTCAATGATGCGACAGCTATGTAGAGCACAGAGGAGGGCTTCCCCCTACTTCAGTCGATTCTGTGGCGGATCGGCTGGGCGGCCGCCACCGACGATGCGCGGCAGCGCTATGGCCGTACCTTCACGGAGTGGGTGAAGAATGTGATTGTACGAGAAGAGACGATTGAACAGTGGCTCAGCGAGACGGGCTGCGTCCTGCTGATAGATGAATTGAACAGTAGGTGGCTGGGTGGGTAACAAGACGGATTGATGGATGCACACATGACATGACGTGTGTGCATGCCTGAATGCCCGTGTTTTGTGTGTGCGTATGTGTGTGTGTATGTGTCAGAGCTGATCCGAGAAGGGGAGCGGCCAGCGAAGCGGGGAGAAGATGTTGCGGGATTCCTTAGGGCCGATTTCATCGACAAGGCGAGCCGCTTTCTCGTCTTCTCCAGTCACAGCACCGGCACGGGCCAGAAGCTGCTGAGATACATGCAGAGTCACCGCGACATTATTCGGCCTCGGCTGCCGGTGTTCAGGTCGAGAGACGAAATGACCGCTCTCACCAAGGAGGCCTCACCTCCCAGTCTCTGCTATCTCGGGCTGACACCCGCACTGGTCCACAGCGCTTACAACTTGATGCACGGACGTGTTACTGCGTGCATACAAGATCGGTTCAGCAGGCTCAAGGCCCCACCTTTCAACAAACACACGGTGCGAGCATTGATCGAGACGGCCGTCAAGGGAGAGGCGGGGGGGGCCGATGAGCTGGGCGAGTGGTTACAGGCGCTTGATGCGTTCGGGCTAGTCGGCTCGCCACCATCGTACACATGGCCCCCATGCTTCTTGGCTGCTGCATGCCACGCGATGTGCGAGGCTGACGCGATTCCGATACGCATTCGGCAGGGCCTGGTGATGATCGGCGACAGCCTGCAGCAGTTGGCGACGGCAGAGGAGGGGTCGGGCAAGCAATGGGAAGGGGTATGTGCGGCGGCGCTCGTGTTGCGGATGATGCAGAGCGAGATGGTGGTCGGCAGCCTCGCCGTCGTCCTCAGTGAGGAGGCTAAACAGCTGCTGCCGGATGCCATTCTCAATGGTTGGTTGGTTGGGTGACACACACACAACACATGTATGTACATGTGTGATGGGCTACAAGCCATGCGATAGATACTGGTGTGTATGTGCTGTTTGTGTGGGTGTTTCAGGATCATGTGCATTCGCAGGCACCTTCTGTCCCACCCACCAGAGCGGGTTCGTACGGCAGCCTGCTGCTTGTGGGTTGGTGGGGCGGAGTGACCCTGCGGACATTCCTCTCCTCCGCCGGATGGTCTTGAAGGAGCTGAGAAGGCAAACCTACAAGGATCAGCGCCTCGACCGGGGCACTGTGGCTCTCTTTGTGAAGCCCGCCGTCAGCAGCTTCCCTGTACATGACCTCTTCATCTTCATATGTGACGACGGCCGAGTGACGGAGATATGGGGGTATCAGTGCAAGACAGGGAGGCAAACACCGACAGACAGGCAGACGAGGGTTTCCAAGAAGGTGACGAAGTCAGTGTGGCTTCGTGGTGAGGCCAACCAACAGACGCACAGGAACTATGGGTGGGTGGTCGCAAGCCAGACAGTCATTGAGCTCCTGTTTGGCCTGACTCTGTCAAAAACGTGCCCTCTCCATTGGCTGGCGGATCAGTGAGTGCATGGGCGGCGGCGGCGACAAGGTGTGTGCCTTGGTATGTATCATCCGCGTGTGTGTGTGTGTTCGGTCCAGTTGTTGCATGCCGTTTGGTTGCATTCTTTTTTGTGGGCATGTCATGTTCATCTCGCGCAACACCACACACGAGCGTCACTCATCGCATCAAGGCAGGCCTTCTTTCTTGTCTTGTCCCGTGTGCGCTGGTTGTGGCTGGCCCGGTTTGCGCGGTCTCCTTTCTGTATTCGTGTGGCATGCGAGTGTGCACACTGGGGGAGGCGCGATGGATGGATTAGCCAGTGAGATATATAGCGATGGATGGCGATCCATCGATTCGTCTGTGTGTGTGTTGCTGACCGGACGACGCATATGTACCGTCCGTCTGCCTTCTTTCTGTCTGTCCATTAGCGTGTCGATTTGCAATACATACATCGATTAACGCAACAGGCATGCTATGCTTAGCAATGCCCAACAGATGTTGGATGGACGGATGGTGGTAAGTACTTTCTTGTTCACAGTGATGTTTGACGTCAACTGATCATCATCCCAGTCCCATCAATGAAAGACGTCAGTCACACTCAACCGAACAAACTGACAACGCACGCATTCCACCCTTCCGGATGGTTTATGCCACCATCATCACATTGCCGGATGGTTTATGCCGCCATGGGGGAGATCTTTGACAACGGCGTGAGTGCAGTTTGCTGCTTGTTGTGATGGGCATGGATGTTGGGGGAGCGCAATTTTTAGGGTGTTTCCTGAAACCGCTGCTGCTGGATGCTGAGCGCGAAATCCGGAGGAAGCTTCGTTTTCGCAAAGATAGGAGAGCCGTAGCTCTGCGGATTCAGACAAGGAGGCAGCAGGTGACTGGGCGTGCGCGTGAGTGATGCCTTTCACCTTCGGGCATCACGTCGTGCACCACGTGCTTCAACGCAACGAGCACAACCGGCTGGGGCGGATGCTCTTCAGATACCTCTGCTTTGCCGCCTCCAAGAAGCTCTGGTGCGAGCGGCAACTCAAATCGACCCTCTACCTCGCTTCACACCCACGGGTAAGGCAAGGCAAGGCCACACAACCAAGGCAAGGCAGCCGGCGCCTTCTCGTCCCTCCCTCACTCACTCTCTGCCTGTCCTGACTGCCTGCGTTTCATTATATCAGCACCTTGGGCTGGCTCTCTTCTACTTCTTCCTTGGCGTCCCGATAACCGACGACACGCGGCAGCACCACCGCAGCAAGACCAGGGACGCAGAGGGGCAGTTCGGGGCTGACGACGGCTTCTCGGCCCTCGCGGCGGGTCTGGCCGACGCCACTGCGGATGAGGGCAGGGAGCCATTCTCAGAGCCGAGTGACGACGAGAATGAGCTTGACGATGACGACTTCAACTTGTCCCTCACCGGCCCCACGTTTCCCCGGCCTCAGCTGGCGTTCGCACCGCAGCCCCCGCACCACCAGAACGGCACCGTGAGTACCATCTCCCCGGACCACACGGCCGCCCCAATGGCGAGTAGTGAGGCGCCCATGAGGGGGAGCAGCTCCCAGAGCGAACAGGACAAGATTTATTTCCTCGAGCAACAGGTGAGGTGTACAGGGGAGGGGCACGATTGCGTATCATGCATAAATTGCCGTCCATCTTGCTTTGTATCTGTGTGTGTGTGTTGGCCAGGTCGCCCTGTTGACCAAGACCCTTGCCGAGATGCGAGCGACCCAGGCGATGAGCAGTCCACCCCCAGCCAGCGCCCCCTCCCAGCCCCCCTTTCCGGCAATGGACGTCGATCAGCCGGCGCAGGGCGATTCAGCCCACTACACCACCCCCACTCCCCTCAAGGGCAGCGCCGCTGATGTGCTGCCCCCGCCCCTCTTCGGCCGCCCCCCACCCTCGGACACACACCAAGAAGACGGCTCTCCCATGGGAAGCCCCTCCGGCGGCGGCTCGCCAATCGTCATGCGGTCCAACCCCCCGAGAAACATCGGCATTGGCAGCCCTGCGACCAATGGTTTTCCTGCGGCGGCAGCAGCGTACAGTGGGAGTGTGCCGGTGGGGGGCAGGGCGGAGAGGGGTGACCCTATCGCGTGGCTGCAACAGTGAGGCAAGGGAGGGCGTGTGGGACGCGGACATGCGTGGGTGGCTGTGGCTGGGGGGATAGATAGTGACGGGCGGGCCGTGAGTGAACGAGATGTGTATGGTATGGGATGACTGTGAGTGAATTCCCTACACGCCATTCACTCGTCTGCCAGCCCACCATCTGTCTCTTTTTCCGTGACTCACACGAGAGATGCGTTGGGGTTATCAGTGCAATGCATGGGTCCGTCCAGCTAGGATGCATGGGAGAGAGGAAGAAAGATATCCATCCGTGCGTAGTGTATTTTTGGCGCTTCAACACACGACGGACAGAGAGAGAAGGAGAGGGAGGAAGAGAGAGGGAGAATGCCATGCAGGCGGGAGCATGCATGCAGCGCCCTTTTTCCTGTCTGCATGCCGGCTGACCATTCCTACTCGCTGTGCACATCCGTCCCATTCTGTCTGCCGTGTTGTCTTTTGAATGGTGTGGTGATGTCAGCGCCCATGCCCTCTGTGTGGGCGAGGCGCGCCGACGTCATCCTGCCATTCACAATACTGACATGGTGGACGGAGGGAGGAGTGCCTGACCGACCGATCAACCGATTGATAACCCGACCACAACTGACTGTTGTGTTTTTCCCCTGGTGCACATGACATCGCGCGCACATACACACACGGCATACACACACGGCATACATACATACATACATACATACATACATAACATGCACACATAAGGTGAGTGGGTACGTCGGCCTACCGCAGCCGTCGCGGGATGGATGGGGTGCGTGGTGTCTGTGTGTCTGTGTGTCGATCAGTCAGTCAAGTGTTTGTACCTACCGTGCCAATGAGTGAGACAGACAGACACCTGAGATATTTCATCTCTCGATGCGTGCCGTGCTGTGCCTTGCCGTGTGCCGTCGGTGTACGTCGATGCCACACTGGCCATTTCTTTGCCCTGTGTCTGTTTGTCTGGTGTTGCAGACGAATTCGTTCTGCATCGATCAGTGTTTTTGACGTCTGCGTGTCGAGAACACGTGCACGCTTCGGTTGGCTTCAATAATCGTGCTCTGCGTCGCTCCCTCCTCCCCACAGCCTAGGGAGCTCTTGCGCGTCAAACAGACATCTAGCTTGAGCTCAATCAGCCTTTCTGATTTGATGTCGAATTATCCATTGGGACATTCTGGGAGCTTCGGCTACCGAGGAGGCCGCAAGCGTGGCGGCTATGGCCACCGAGGCGGCAAGGGAGGCTACTTCTCCCACCCGTTCCACCCATCCCACTCGCACGACGGCTTCCCCACTCACCACCAGCAGCACCACGAGCGGGACAAGTGGGAGGCCCTCGGCAGGGCGCGATTGGGCGATGATCAGCAGGGAGGACCGCAGGCCTCGGCCGCAGCCGAGGCATCGGATCTCCACTTGAACGGACGCGGCACGCAGACGGGACGCGCCGACCAACACGCCGGTCGGTCAGCCAGACAGCGCAGCCAGACAAACGGAACGGACGGCCTATGCCACCCAAATCAGTCGATCTCTGCCTGTGTTGCATGTGGTGTGGTGTGGGATATGATTCATTCATGAATGACATGGTCCATCAGGTGAGGAGAGTGCGTCAGGACCGACAGGCTCCTCTTCTCCCTGGGTGGTCCAGGCCACTGCCCCAGACCACACACAGACAGCTTCAGCGTCGGCGTCGCGTGCCGACCATGGCGACAGCGTGGGTGAGGGCGGCAGTGGGGTTGGTCCACCTGGATCAGGAGACGGGGAGGGAGGGGAGTGGCGCAGCAATGGCAAGGACGACAGATTCGATATGCGGGAGGGACTAGAGTTCCTCAAAAACCGTAAGCATCGCATCCAGGGCCGTCTCGGGGGCTGCCTGGCCTGTGTCTGGTTCATCCATGCTTGTCTGTCTGTCTGTCTGTCTGTCTGTCATATCTGTGTGTGGTTATGTTCTGGGTCTTATGTCAGGTCACGATGAGGTGTTATCGCGCCTGGAGAAGCAGCAGAGAGAGGGCAGACCCACAAAAGATGGTACCCTTGTGGGGGAGAGGGAGTGAGGGAGAGAGGGAGGGGACAATGCGCTCACGAGGCCCCCCATGGATGGGATGGGATGGGATGGGATGGGATGATATGCGTTTACGTCATTTTTCTTTCGTCGCCTGTATGTATGCGTGTGTGTATGTATCAGAGGACGGCTATGTTCACCTGTGGAAGCCCCCGCCGCCCACGGCGCAGCAGCAGCAGCCCATGCGGCCTGCCCAGGACGACTTCCTCCTACAGCTACAACGAGCACTGCAGCGCGTCCAACAGCCCAAGTGAGTGCGACAAACAAAAACAAACAAACAAACAAACAACGGACAATCTCACCACACACACACCCGTGGCGTGTTGTCTGCAGGGAAGGGCACATTCCATCGTCCCCTACGTCCCTCCCCTCCCCCCCACCCCCCCACCCCATCAAGCGGGGCGACGTCATTCGGCCTTCCACAGAGGTGGCGGCGCAAGCGACCGGAGGGCCCGAAGCACCCGCGACTCCCCCACCCATGGAGCAGCAGCAGCAGCAGCAGCAACAGCAGCAACAGCAGCAGCCCATGGTACTGCCGCAGGCGTCCATGCCCCACGGCGCTGCTCCGTTTCCGCTTCACAACCTCGACAAGGGCACATGGGCAGCCCCGCCACCCTCCTGCCCGCCACCTCCTTTCCCTCCCTCAACGCTCCCTCGGCCACCGCCGCCATCGACGACACTCGATGTGGCGCTGACAGACGTCCATGGCGGCCCAGGGCAGCAGAAGGGCCGGGGCAGTGGAGCCGCCGGCAAAACCAAGAAGAGGGGCTCCAAGGGCGGTGCGGCCGCTGGGCCGGTTGCCGCTGCTGGTGTTGGTGGCGCTGGTGCGGCTGAGGGGGAAGGGGACGGCGAGAAGCCTCCTGGGGCTGTCGCTGGAGGTGGTGCGGAGACGTCTGCACCTGCCCCACCGCCCCCTGTGGTGCAGGAGGAGCCTGTGGTGGCCAGCGCGCGTCATCAAGAGGAGCCGACTGAGCAGGAGCCCCAGCAGCCACCGGCCACGGAACAACAACACAAAGAAGAGCCGTCCGATGTGCCGACTGCGCCACCACCTGAGGCGACTGCAAAAGGGGATGTGGCTCAGGAAGGTGAGGCCGACGTGGCGCCTCCCTCGAGCCCATTCTTACCTCTTGACGCCGCCAACATCGAGCCGCTTCCCGTCATCACCCCCGCCACAGCTGATGGGGCGCAGGCGGCTGACGAGGGTGACAAGGATGCGGTTGAGGAGAGGCCGCCATCCTATGTGGCTGACGAGGCCACGGGCGGCGACAAGAATCAAGAAGTGACAGCGGGGGTGGATGTTGGTGGCGAGGGCAAGGAGAGCGGCGAGGCGGCGGCTAGTGCTGCAGAGGCAGAGAAGGAAGAGCCACAGGGTGGAGAGCAGACAGGTCAGTGGGCTGGGCTGGCGACAATATTACATACACTGCACTGCACTGCACAGACAGGCCATCCGAAGACCATCGTTCAACCATGGTGCTGTGCTATTCTAATGTTCAGGTAAAGCACCAGCCATGCCGGAGAAGGCCACCACAGAGGTCACGGACGACACAGCCGCAGCGCCGTCCAGTGCGATCGAGCCCGTCGCATCTCCCCCGCCCCCACCCGCCGACGCAGACACATCCCCACCCAAGGCAGACGACGCCAAGAAGCCCTCCGTCTCTCCCTGCCCGTCGCCCCCGCCCCTCGCCGCCGATGACCGCAAGACATCAGAGGACCGTAAGCTGCAGTCCAGCAAGCGAGGCAGCGGTTCGCCCGACAGCCAGAAGCGCAAAGCCGGCCAGAGTGTGTGGCGCGAGAAGCCCAAGGGAGGCCCTCCTACCGGCAGGGAGGGCGCCCAGCAGCAGCAGCAGCTGACGAATGGCGTGTCGAGCGAGGCGCCCGTTGAGCGCGAGAGGGAGCGGGATCGTGAGAGACGTAGCAAGAAGAAGGACAGCGACGCGCAGGGGCAGCAGCAGCCGCCGCCGCATGAGGAGCGCAAGAGGGCGGAGGGGTCGGAGGGGAGGGACCAGCACATGACCACTGCTGGTGGCGGCGACGATGCACCACTGTCAGGGGAAATAACCGATGAGCAGCAGGTCAGTGTCAGTCGGTGTGTGAAATCCACCCCGCCCCACCACAGAGAGAGCACCACATAAAGCACAACGCGTGTGCTCTGTCTGTGTTGTGCTGCAGAAGGCGTCGGCGCTTCGCATTGTGTCTGGTTTCAAGTCGATAGTAGCGCAGATGACCCCCACGGCCGAGTGCGCCCTGGCGGTGCCGGCATCCATGGCGGCCGAGGACCACACCGACACGACAGCTGACCAGGAGGCCAGCGGCGGCCAGGGGACGGACGGTGCTGCCAGTGGGCCCGGGGGCAGCAACGGAGTGGTGGTCAAGGTCGTCACCGATGAGCAGACCAACACGGACGAGTGAAGGCATGCACACTCACACACACATACCAAGCTATACATACGTGTAGATGGACGACTCAGATATCCATTGGTTGGGGTGTGTGAGTCAGGTGAGGTGAGATGGGCTGAGTTGGGACGGGGGTGGGAGGGGAGGGCGCCTGTGGGTCTGTCGGTGTGTGTGTGTATATAATAGGACGGATAGGGGATAGATAGAGGGAAAGGAGTGGGGCCAGGGAGGGAGGGAGGGAGGGAATGCGCCTGCGGGTGCCTGCATGGAAGCACCCTTTCCATCCGAGTAGTCAGTCAGTCAGTGCCCTGATTTGCGGCCCCAGTGTTGTGTCTAGTTTACATTCTCCGTTGCTGTGGGTCGATGGGTGCTTGGCTGGGGGGATTGCCTGTCTGTCTGTCTTGTCTGTCTGTGTCTCTCGTGTGCATATGCGCCCGCCTGACTGACTGACTGATTGTTGTGGGAAGGAAGTGGCTGAGTGAGTGGACGGAGTATACAGAGCCAGACCGAGAGAGGGGGAGGGGTGAGGGGGGAAGAGAGATACGGTTGATTGCATTCATTGTAGCTGATAATGGTAAGAGTGACCACCAACATCCACACCTGGTACGCCTGCCTGCCTGCCTTTAGTCCATGTTGAAGAGTGAGTGTTCAAGAGAGAGATAGGGAGACGGACGAACGGAGGGAGGGAGGGACGCATGGCATGCGTGTGTGCGGAGCTACCTACGTACAGTCAAGAGACGTCACAAGTTTTGGCGCGGGGGATGGTCAGTCAAAGTGAAGACTGACAACGGCACACAGGTTGATTTCACCCATGATCGATCCACCCATCCATCGTTCGTCGGCCACATCCACCATACACCGTCCCGTCCATCCATCCATCCGTCTGTCACTAGGCCACGAAGAAAGAGTAAGTACATCCGTCAGTCAGTGCCCGCTGCCGATTCAGAAATACAACCATAGCCTGCAGAAAGAGAGAAATAGCGGAGAGCCAATAGATGCATGTATGTATGTAGCCAGGTAGGTAGGAAGTATGCAACCGGACGCAATCAGAGCTTAAAATGAAAGGACAAGGAAGGAAAGTCACCCAATCGTACGGACAGGCAAGGACAACGTACGCTCGCTATGGAGTCATTCATGGATGCGATGCATGTGTGTGAATGGATGTGTGTACGGTAGGTACGTGTGGTGAACACGTCTGTCTGTCTGTCTGTCTGTGCAATGCGACCGGCCACACTGCTCATGGCCCATCGATCGATCTAGGTACGTAGCTGGGAAGAGAGAGGCACGACACACATATAAGAGCACTGCACGGCTACACAAGTGAGTCAGTGAGTGAGCAAGCAAGTACGTACTCAGGGAACCAACCGGCACACGTCTCACTCTCTCCCTCTGTCCGTCGGTCTGTCTTTCCGTCTCTCTGTGCGCAAGTGTCTTGAGTGCGCCACATGGGCTGTGTGCACCCGCCGCCTTCGACGCTCACCAAGCAGCATTCAGTCATACCGCTGGATGGGCGTGGTAGGGGGCGAATATAAACAGGCCCACGTGGCACTCACAGAGGCGAGTATCTACGTATGTGAGGATGAATTGGAGCATGCTGGCTACAACACGCCAGCCAACTGATCTATCTGATCGATCTGTATGTATGCATCGTTGGTACGTACCTACGCCTGCGCCGTGAATCGTCAGGTCAGCTGCCGCCTCGTGCACGCGTGTTCGGAGACATCCTCAATCTGCGACAGACAACAATCACCGCCGACCTCTCAGCGCTGATCCTCGTCTCCGAGCACATGCAGAGGATGCATCCCCACACACACACACACGTCGCAGGCAGCACCACCGGCCCACCACAACCAGGGGTAATACAATACAATCACATGACAGAAAACTAAGGCACAACACCACACAGACAGCAAGACACTCACTCACTCACTCGCACGTCCATCCATCCGGCATCGCATCCCTCTAGAAAAACATCCCATTCTCGCCCCATTCTCGCCCCTGTATCTTGCTTGTATCGTTCTCTCTTTTCCTCCCTCAGCAGCAGCAGCAGATCTTCTTCTTCGGTGCGGCCCTCTTGGCTGGCGGGGGCGGTGGGCCGCCCACCGAGTAGACCTCTGGCGGGTAACTGTAGTAGGTGCTCGTCGGCGGCAGCGACGGCACACCGAAAGGCATCGCATACGAATACGCCCTGCCACACACACACAAGACACACACACACACACATGGAGAGAAAGATGACATGGTGGATGGAAGCACCAACAACTCGTCTCTCACCTACCCGGTGGTGGGAAATGCAGGTGCGTACGAGTGCGCCGCCCCACTCCCAGCACTGCCCGCCGCGGCCGCACTGGTGCCAGCAGCTCCGCCTGCCTCTCCCGCCTCCCCTCCGGCGCCCGTGGCTGAGGAGTCGCCGCCCGCCCCGCCGTGAGGCCCACCGGCGCCACTCGGTGGGTAAGCGTAGAGGGGTGGGGCTGCAAGGAAGGAGGGAAAGGAAGCACCAGAAGAGAGAGTGGCAGGGACGGGGGAACTGGGTTTGGCTGGGTCAACGAGATTAGGTAGATCAGAGTGAGTTAATAGGTAGAGAGAGAGATCAGTGGGTGGGTAGGTTGGTAGGTAAGGAGGGGGGGACAGACGGGGGGCAGGGGTGACATAAATGTGTCTGTGTGTGATGTGATGTGATGTGCCCGGCTGCCGGGGAAGGGCTCACTCGACTCACCTGGGCTAGAAGCCATCAGGTAGAACGCAGACGGGTCACCCATCGGACCCATGACTGAATCGCCACACACACACACACAAGACGAAACACACAACACGAAACACACACAGAGACCGTGACGGGCACCGTCGTTGGTTGGTTGGCACTCCTCTGTTTCCTTACTGTGCTGCGGGTGGTTGGCCATACTCGCGGGTGCAGTCGTCGACACCACCGGGTCAACTGGCACACAATCATCACGACACAGATCCCAAAAACAGCATCAGCCACGCTGTTTGTTACGTTACAGCCTTTCCAGACCCAGGCTCCGTCTCTTGTCAGCTTACTTGTCGAGTATGACGCCCCGGGCCCGTAGGCGGGCGGCATGGTGCTCGTCACCATCGGGAAGGCGGGCATAGGCCCCAGATACCCCGGGGCAGTTGTCGGTCCGGCGGGGTACGCTGCAGACATGGCAGAAGTCGGTGTTAGAAAAGATCTGAAAAGATCTTCAGTCCCAGCTGCTGAGAGGGTTGCAGGAGGGTGTTTGCAGTCGAAACGCAGCCGATTCAGGCGTTACCTCTTTTTTCCAATTGCGAGCTTCAGCTCGCATCCGTGCAGCAGAAGAAACTTGGAAGATCCATCCTTCGTTGTGTGCCTTGTGATCAGCAGCAATGGTGGATGAGTCAAAAGATGCAGTTCATGGCATGAGATCTGTCACAGTGGTGCTCTCGGCTCTGGCAGCAGGGTGGGTTCATCATGCGATGTCCTTCGCCCAACCACGAGCACGTCCACATGCATCGACTCATCGTGGATTTCCGTTTCGTCGGCACTCTCGGGATCGGCCGTTGTCAGTCGTTGGTCTGAGCAGTGAGGAGAGGGAGAGCTGCGATGTCACAGAAGTGGATGGCTTTCCGCCGTGTGAGCCGACGGAAACGTTTGAAGAGAGCAAAACGGACACGACAATGAATGGATGGATGAGGAGGTGTGGATGTGATTTGAATGTGTGCCTGCACTGCAGCTGATGAGTTCCTAAAGCAGTACTGGCAGAAACGGCCGCTGCTGGTCCGCCAGGCCTTCCCCGACTTCAAGTCGCTCCTGTCGCCGGAGGAACTGGCAGGTAATTGCTGGGGACACATGGACACACAGATGGATGCACACATCCTTCTCTCTCACATTATTTGATGGTGTGTGTGCAGGGCTAGCAATGGACGAAGAGGTGGAGAGCCGTGTGGTGTCGCATGAGACGGCGGCCGACGGTACCCGACGGTGGACCAAACGAAACGGCCCCTTCCACGAAGCCTTCTTCACCCAAGAGTTTGCTAACTGTAACACCACTCTGCTCGTGCAAGAGTGCAACCGACACATTCCACCGGTCAGACACAGACAGTCTGGGCTGAAGGAACAGTCATCCATCACACGCCACGCCACGCCTGTTGCCTCGTGTGTGTAGAACTGCAGTTGAGTTCGTTCCTTGACTTCTTCCGGTTCATCCCGTCTTGGCGGATCGATGATCTGATGATCAGCTATGCTCCGAAAGGCGGCGGCGTCGGGCCACACGTCGACTCATATGACGTCTTTCTGCTGCAGGTAGGTACCTTAAGAGAGAAGGGGAAGGGGAAGGAGAGTCCACCACTTAATCAATCTTGCTTCTGTGTCTTTGTGTACGTACGTCCGTACAGGGTGCTGGTCGCCGGCAGTGGAGCATCGAGAGCGGCAAGCTGTCACTGAGGAATGAGGAGGACCGCCTGGTGCCCGACAGCCCCGTCAGGTGAGGGAAACAAGGTCAGTGCGGGCACTGGCTCACTTAGTCATGGTCGGTCCTCAGAGTGGTTGAGGGCTTCACGCCAAGCCACAGCTGGACTCTTGCACCAGGCGACATGCTCTACCTCCCACCAAGGTAAGGAGCCAGCGATTTGATACACGGCCGGGGCAATCCGGTCATTCACTGACTTGTGTGTCGTCAATTGCTTAAGAGTGGTGCACGACGGCGTCTCGCTGGACGATGAGTGTATGACGTACTCGATCGGTTTCAGGTATGCGCCCATCTAGATAACGTGTGTTGGAGTGCGGTGCCAATCACGGCTGCGTGCGTCTTTGTGTGTGTGGACACTCAGGGCCCCCCGTCGGCAGGAGATCGCCATGGCCTACATCGACAGGATGGCTGATTACATCGAGGACGAAAGGCGGAGCCTTAACGATGACTTCTTCACAGACGACCACAGATCGTCGTGAGTGAGAAACCGGGGTCGCTTTATATATCGCTTTATTTGCCTAATCGGTCATCCTTCCACTACCCCTCTCTGCGTGTATGTGTGTGCAGAGCGCAGCGCGACTATGGCGAGATCGATAGTCACGACGAACGTGTGTTCCGCGACATGCTCAGGTGCGCAAGTGACGATGCTTCCCAATACTCATTCCTCTCTCTTTTTTCGCTCACAGTACACGCATCGCATGCACGTGAATGCATGTATCATGTGTGAATCTGTGCGTGTATGCAGGCATGAGCTGGCTGTGGCGATGGACGAGTGCGGGGATGAGCGGCAGCTTGTGTTCATGGGCGAGCACATCACCGCCCCTATGCGTTTCCATCCATCCCTCCCAATGGACATCTACGGGATGGATCAGCGCCACGCCGACGCACTCTTGCACGAGATACTTCTGCACGATGACAACAACAACAACATCAACGCCGGGCTAGAAAAGGACCTTATAGTGGATGGGACCATCAGGGTATCCCCCGCCCTGGCAGCATACGCGCCGCTCTCTGACGATGTGCCCGATCAGCAAAGAGTGCTCAAGTGGGCCGAGGGCGTCAATTTTGCTCATGCCCTCGGCAGCTGTCCACAAAGTGTTGCTTACCTGTTTGCGTACGGCAAGTCGTTCAAGCTACCCTTTGGTGCTGGGGGCGATGTGTTCCTCCCTGTGCTGACCAGCGGGCGGACCGTGGCCTTCAGCCAACTAAGGAGGGCTCTTCCTCCTGGGGCAAGCAATCCCGACGACAAGTGTCAGTGTCGGCAGCTGCTGAGACAGCTACTGATGGAGGGATACATCTATGACCCACACATGGTGCTCGAGCCATCCATAGAGGAGGAAGAGGAGCGAAATGGCAGCCACGAAATAGACTTGGACACGGAACTGCCAGCAAGAAGACCTCGTAAGCAAGCATTAATGCAATGTCACCGATTTATGACTGCTCGTCTGTCTGTCTGTCTGTCTGTCTGTCAGAGTCGTGACATGTGGAAGTCGTCCGTCGAGCAGGAGCGTCTGCGTGCCGACAAGCTCCACTCACGACAAGCTAAAGCACGGCAGCCATTTATGGTGGAGAGACATGGCATCCACCAAGAGAGGGCAGCGATGAAAGAACCAAGAGGTTTTCCTCACTGTGGGGGGGACCTGGGCAAGGCGGGCGGGGACAAGGTGTGATGCTTTGAGCATTGGGACGTCCGTGACTGTGGCCGCTCTGTGTTTCTTTGCGCACTGCACATCCTAGCTGTTTCCTGGCTGTATCATAGTTGAGGAGGTCTGCATGGATGCGGCGGTGAGAAATGTGTGTGCTGGTATAAAGCAAATGCATCATTCACCACACACACACATACACCGTGGTCCACTCGGCCTGACGCGAGCTCAAAAATTGTAAACGCAGTCTAAGGGAGTCGTTCGGTCAATTGATAGATGGGCAACGGTGCTGCGGGGAGATGCGGGGTAGACTTCCAGCCGCAGTATCAGTATTTCCAGCCGAGCCCTCCTCCCAGCCCAGGACGTTCCTCGAGAGACCCATGGAGGTCAAAACACGACCATCAAACCATTGTTTTGCCATCAAACCATCACAAACAGCGGCACGAACACACCCGTGTGGTCCCTGTTTGCTGCTTGGGTGCACAGTTTGGATTTTGAGTGCGTCCGAGGGGAGCTATCGGACGAGAACCTGCTGCAGAGATCTGGACAGGTGCGTGGTGGAAGGAAGGATAGGATGCGTGGGTGGTGGATGCATCCGATATCCCGTTTTGACGCCACTGTGTATGTATGTTTGTTTGTGCAGCAGAAGCAGGTGTGCCGCGTGGGTGAGATCCAGCTGTCTGTAGGGTGGTCATGCGTCAAGGGATACAAACCCAACAACCCCGTGCTGCCCAACCAAGACGACTTCCTCATCGCAAGGCAAGGCAGGGAACGAAAGGCACACACACACACACGGATGGATGGATGGATGGATGGATGGATGGATCCGCATGCATCATGTGCGGATGGATGGACGCAGGATTGGGGAGGATGCTGTCTATGCTGTGTTCGACGGACATGGTCGGTACACAACAAGGGGAGGGAGGGGGCGTCGTGGTCAATGGTCGGGCGTGGGTGGATGGATGGATGGATGGCATGCAGGTGATTTGGGTCACGTCATCTCCCACGCGACCAAGATGTTCTTCTCTAGGGTCCTACACGATCGGTGAGTGAGGAAGGAAGGCAGGGAGGGATATATGACACATCGATGGGCATTCTCTCCTGTTTTCCTCCTCCCCTTTTGGTGCAGTGCTCATCTGTGGCGTCAGGGGTGGCGTCACGGCAAGGAGTATGTCGTCAAGCTCATGGATCAGCTGTTCAGAGAGGTGAGATCGCATGCACACCCATCCATCTATCGACACACCTTGACCGACAACACAACGATTGTTGTGTGTCGTCACGTCATACATGTCTGTCTGTCAGTGTCAGGAGTATTTGGTGACGGCGTATCCGATGGAGACCGAGTGGTCGGGCACCACGGCCACGGTCATCATCCACTACAGGGCGCCAAAGATACTCTGCGTCGCACACGTGGGCGACTCGCGCGCAGTGCTACTCAACCCCAGACGGACACCCGCCGCCGCACATCGTACGTCCGTCTCGTTGGCTTCTTCTCTTCTCACGGGGGCGTGTGGATGTGTGTGTGTTTCATTGTGTGGTCAGCGTATGTAGGGTACATGTTTGGCGGCATGCCACTGCAGCCGTGGGAGGCGCAGGAGCTGACGGCCGACCACAACCCGTCCAACCCAAACGAAAGAAGACGCATACACCACGAGGTGAGCGACACGAGAGAGAGAGACAGAGAGGCCGACGGACGAACGTCCATGTCTCTCTCTGGCCATACACACAGGGCGGGATGGTGACCTTAGACGGCGAACGGCTGGCCATCCACCCGCCGTCGCAGCCCACCCACTGCTCGTCGGGGTCGATGCTGGGCACCCTCTTCCCCAGGTGCCAGTCGTTCGTCGGCAGCCCCACCCTGTCGCTGTCGAGGTCGCTGGGTGACACCAACATGCAGTCCAAGGGCCTCTCGTACCGCCCGGACGTCGCCCTCGTCAACTGCATGGAGGGCAGCATGCTCGTCGTGTGCACCGACGGCGTGTGGACTCACATCAGGACGCCGGTCGGCAGGCACAGGGAAGGAAGGAGACACAGTACAGTGTATGTGCGTGCGCATATCGTTTATGTGTGCAGGAGGCGGCTGAGTTGGTTGCTGCGTATTCGTCTCTGCAGGGTATTCAGGATGCGTCCAACAACATCGTGGGCGTGGCTTGGGAAAGGTCAGCCAGCATGACCAAAGAAAGAGGGGAGGAGGGTTGAGAGGGCTGAGATGGATGGATGGACGGATGGATGTGTGTGTGCGCATGTCGTCAGGTGGCGCATGAACCCCTACGTCGGTGAGTCAGCTGAGCAGCGAGCCAGTCATTCTTTGTGGCATGTATGTCTGTATGCGTCGTGCCCGCTGTGTGTGTGTGTGCAGATGACATCACTTCTATCGTGGCCTACATCACGTGAGGGAGTGGTTGGTTGAGCGAACTGCCTGTGTGGCGTGTGTGAGGGAGTGTGTACGTTTTCACGCTGATGGATGGATGGATGGTGTACACTCATGTGTATAGCGTCACGTCAATGCATTAATGGACCCATGTGTGTTTGTATGTATCACACTATTGAATTACACAGAGTCCACTGTACCCATGGAGCGACCCTGTGGTGTGTGCGCTCTTCTGGTGCGTTGATGTCTGACTGTCCCGCTGCAACGGGATGGCTGTCAACTGACGCTTAGTTGGCAGCCAAACCATTGCAGCACGACCCTCGACGTCAACACAGCGGAAAGCATGACAAGGGCTGCCAACACACACCCACCCACCCACCCACCCATGCACACGCAACGGAAAAACGATTTCATGAAAAACAACCATCCATCATCCGTCGCGCCGTGTTCCTCCCTCCCGCCCTCCCAGCCAGATGATCTGTCTGTGTATACACATATGCACCTACCTACCTACCTACCGTACAACACCGTGGCTCACAAATAGACGGACGGGTCTCTTCTGTCTTCTCAACCAATTGGTCTGTCTGCCTGCAGGGCCCTACTTGCAAAAGCTGCCGATGTGTGTTGGCCCCCCAATGTGTAACTTATGCAGTCATGACGCACAAAAAAGAGCCCTGATCGTCTGTCTACCTAGGCTAACGTCTCACAAATGACTGTCTACCTATCTACCGGCCGGCCGTCAGGCAGTGAGTCAATCGAGGCCGACGGTGTCACACCCCAATGACACCACATGCATCGGCTGCACCGCACCCACCAGCCGCCTCTGACGCAAATCAGACTGCAGCCGCACCAATGGCACCATCCCACCATACCCACACGCACCCTTCAGCGCTGCTGACGGGCCAGACACAGATCGACGCACCGTCATGGGGGCCACAGAATCGTTCGGTGGTGGCCGCATCAGCTCCCTCACTGACTCACGGAAGGTCGCCGACCCGAGAACGATGAGGCAGCTGAATGGGATGGGCTTGGTGATGGTAGGGCTGGGCTGGAGCAGCCGGATGAGCGCCTCGTCGATCAGTGGGCGGCTGAGTGGCGGCGTGTCCATTTCTGTGCGGGTCGGTGGGGGGGTGGGTGAGGAGGGGGGCAGCCGCCAGTATCGGCAGAAGAAAGCGTCTCTGTACCTGCACATGGATGGATGGATGGAGAGACAGCGACACAATGATGCACTGTCAGAGAATGCGTGTGCGACTCTTCGTCTGAGCCTCACCTCTCTTCCATGGCATCGAGTTCGCTTCTGCATGGGATGGTCTCCTGCTCATCGTCACACACGACGATGCCCAGCCGGGGAGGGGGAGGGACATCAGCACCCGGCGAAAAACCCTCCTCCCCTCCTCTCTCGTCCCTTGCCTCATCCAGTCCAAAAGACGACAGCGACAGTGTCGACGCCATCGAGAGCGCGGCTGTTCCTTCGCCGCCGGCGATCTCATCCTCAGCATCCTGGTACTCGCACCACGACCCGAATCCCTCTCCCTCGATGTAGGGCGCCGTCTCGCACACGTCGGGCAGCCCAGGGCCCGCCCACGGCGCACGCCGCCGCCTCGACGACCGAAGGGATATCGGCACCGCTGCCGGCTCGACCTCCTCGGTCGCCGGCCGCCTCGCAGAATGGACTGGCACTGGGGGTGGACAGACAGTCTTCACGACGAAGTCTGGCGGCTCCTGACAGGCGTGATGGAGGAGACTCTGCCGCGCGATGCCTGTCGAGGGGCTGGTCCGCGATGGTGGGATGGTGGGGGCAGTGAACTGGGGGGAGCCTGGCGGTGGAGGGCTGTCTTGTGCTAGTGCGTGGGTGAGTGATGATGGTCCTGGGCCTGGGCTGGATGGCACTGTGCGGAAGAAGGCCTGGGCGCACTGCAGGGCCAGGGGGACGTGATTGCCATCGGCTACGATCAAGGTGCTCTGCCACGGCCAGTCGCGAGCAGCCTCATTGTCGTCACTCGATCCGGCGGCCTTCAGCAGTGGAGTACCGACAGGGCCCTGCATGTGCACAATCGACCCTGACACCACACACACAGACGCGACAATCGTTCCATGACACCGTCCAGAGTACATACATGCATTTGACGTACCCAGCAGCAGCGAGTTGAGGAATCTGTAGAGGGCGTCCTCAGGATCCACTCGCAGAACGAAGTCCATGAAGAGGTCGGTGTTGGTGGTCGCCGTCGTGACGGGCGGCGCGTACCTCGTGACCACCTCCCCGTCTGAGTCACCCCCACTAGTAGTGACCGCGATGCCCACACACTGCCCCGCCTCGCACACGATCCGGGTCGCCCGTGGCCGCCTTAGCGGCACCACACGCACCAGGACGCCCGTCGCGACACCCTGTTGCTTGAGCTCCTCGCGATGCACCAACACATGGGGCACCCAGCCGTCTCCCACAGCACAGCCGTTGTCGATAGTGTATCTGTCAACGGTGGGGCCATTGTTGACATCTGGCTGCGTTGGTTCTGCGGCGAGGCTGACGAGCGACGAGGAAGAGAAGGAACAAGTGCGGGGGCCGCTGGGGGTGGAAGACGACGTGTGGTTGTGGTGGTGGTGGTGGACCTGCTGTATCACCGGCCGATCGCCCTTGTTGACGCCGAGGGGGTCAGGGGAAGACGGCTGGTCGCCCGGAGAGGAGGAGGCGACCCCATTGTAGTCCCTCTGTCTCCGCTGCTTGGCCTCCTTCCAGATGGCCGTCAGCAGCACATGAACGGCATCCATCGACAGCATGCGATACGCCGACGACATGACCCTCACCCCCCACACATCGCCGCCCTCGGTGTCGGGACCACCAACGTCACCGCCTCTCGCCCGCTTGCTGACCCGTCCCTCGAGAGCCAGCCCGCGACAGTGCTTCGGGCTGTGTGTGCGGTGGTGGCAGTGGTGGGCATGTGTGTGCGAGTCCGGCAGCAGGTCGAGCATGCGCTTGCGCCGCGACGCTCGACGGCGGGAGGGGGAGGGGCTGAGGGACCGGGGGACGGGGCAGTGCACAATGCCCTGATGATACACAAGAGACAGACGGACAGACAGACAGACAGACAGACAGAAATGTGTCGTCTGCGTGTGGTTTGTTTGGCTGGGGTGTGGAATCTTACTTGTGTCCATGTGGCTGCGAGTGCCAGTTTTGCGGACAGCCGTCTGTGTTGGTTGCGCTCCAGGAGTCCCCGCAGCAGCTGCATCGCGGCCGCATCGACGCCCTGGAACAGGGGACCACCGAACTGCATGTGAGCAATCACAGAGAGTGAGAGAGAGACACACATCCTTGGATATGCATGATGGCAGGTGCATGAAGTGACATTTCTCACCTCTATCGGCTCCTCAGTGATGGCCCGCATAATGTCGCACCTGCAGGCAGCAGAGACGGCCACACGTGAGGAGATGGATGCAGCTATCCATCCATCCATCCATCCATGTGTGTGTGCTCATGTGTGCTCAGTGTTGGGTACATACGTTCCGTCGAATGGCAGCATGCCGGTGAGCATGAAGTAGAGGCACACCCCGGCCGACCACACGTCGACCTTCTGCCCGTACTCGGCCCAGCCGCCCACTATCTCGGGCGCAGTGAAACGCAGGTTCCCTGAACAACAGAACGAGGGGAGGGGGCCTTTCTCTTCCCAGTGGCTCGCTCCTTGCAGGACGGACCTGCGGGTGTCATCATGCCGTCAAGGTCCCCCTTGCGAGCGATGTTGAAGTCAGCCACCTTCAGACACGCACTACACACCTCACCTGATGTGAAATCAGGGACACAGACCGACATGGAAGGCGCGCACACTCTTGCGTGTCGTCCTTCATGCACGGACTTGATGTGAGCAGCAGGTTTTTGATGGAGAGGTCCCGATGTGTGACGCCGTTCTCGTTGAGGTACACCAGAGCCGTCATCAGCTGACGAAACACGTGACGCGCCTGACCATCTAAACACCACACACACACACGCACGCACGGAACACACCCATTGCCCACGCTGTGCTCAGCTGGTTTGTCTCTCAATCCCTTCCTTACCCGAGAAGCGTCTTTTGCCCTTGAGTTGTGCCATTTTCCTGGACGCGAGCGGGTTGACCTCCAGGTCGCCGTATCGCTCGACGGCCTCCTCCAGGTCGGGCCCGTCGATATACTCCATCACCAAATGCAAGGCGCCCTCACGATCGAAGTCCTGGTCGGATCGATATCGATGTGTGATAGACCCGCCCGGAGAGTGAGGGGCTGTCTGTCGTGCGGCTTACGTTGATGAGTTCGTGTGCCTTGACGATATTGGGGTGGTTGACCGACTTCATGACCTCGAACTCACGCTCCACCTGCACACACCACACCACAACACACCACACCACCATGACAGAACACGGCTTCCACCGACTGACTGACTCATCGAGTGACTGACTGACCACATGTGCGATCTCGATGTCGTCAGTCCTGACGGTCTTGACGGCCACCACACAGCGGTCCGCACGACGGATGGCCCGCCGAACCACACCCAACGTCCCCTGCCCCCGTCTCTCGAGCAGGTCGTATCTCTGGTACACGGCATGGTCGCGGCGCATCAGACTCCACCGATTGTTGCCGGGGTCGGTCACCTCGACGTCAGTCAATCTGACACACACACACACACACACACGGACAGTGATGCGCTGATGGCGTTGAGTGTCGTGTCCGTGTGTGTCTGAGTATGTGTGTCTTCCTTTCTTACGGTGTGTTTTGTCTGCGTAAGAGTTTTTTGTCGACTGCGATAGCGATGGGCTGCATGGACGACTGCATGAAGGACGCCCGGCGCGACAAGAGCCGCGACTGCGACAGCCGCAGCCCCTCGCCGACCGTCGACACTGAGATGTCACCCGTGCTGCTCCGACGATTGTCTGCACAGACACACAGAACAAACGCCAGCCAACACCATGCCAGCCAGACATACGCCAGCCCCCGCCCTTCCAGCTCACTTTTGATGGCGGGCACACTGACGGCATGGACAGGTGCCGTGCTCATCCAGCCGTCCAGACACTCGGACGTGCTGCGGGCCACAGCTTCGGGCAGCCGAAGTGACGGTGACGGCGAGGCCTCATCGCTGGGCAGCTTGGGCAGCATCTGGCCGGCCGAGGTCGTCGCGTGCATCGACGCCGTGTCGAGCAGGGGCGTCCGAAAGAGACCGTCGAGCTCGAGGTCGCCTGTGGGCGACCGCTCCACACGCTCAGAGGGCTCGTCAGGCCAACCACCACCACCCTGCACCGTCAATCCATCCATCCATCCATTTGACACGTTGACTCCCCCCCACTTGTGTGAGTGCCGTGCTGACCAGGGGGCTGTGTGCGAAGCTGCCCAGCAGTGCGTTGTGTCGGTCCAGATGTTCCGCCAGTGTGTCCAGGGGCGCCTCTCCGAGTGCCCATGAGGGCGTCATGAGCACCATCTTGTCGACGGCCGTCGGTCTGTCGCTGCTGCCGGTGGAGCGGCCCTGTGTGGGCATGTAGTAGTGGAAGAAGAGGCCGACGGCCGGGTGCTTGCGCATGAGGGAGAGGACAGAACCTGTATGTAGTCATGACAGGACAGGACAGGAGAAACGTGTTTGTTTTTCGGGTCCATGGAGGGCATGGATGTACACATACATATACATACCCCAGGTGACGTCCGGGACGGGGTGCTCAATCACCACAAGGAAACCCTGCTCGTCCATCTCTAGCGACTGCATCACATCATAATCACACACACACACACACAGGTCCTCTCGTGAGGCCTGCGTCTGCCTCCCCCCTACCTCCCTCCGCCACACACTGACCTCGGTCACGAGCCACACATGCCCCGCCTTCTTCCGCCTTTTCCTCCCGTGGATCCTCACGCGGCACACACTCTGCCTTTCGGTGTGTGTGACGGGCCTCAGCTCCTCCAGCCGGTCGCTGACGGCCCGCCTGTACCGCCGGACGTCGCTCGGGTGCAAGAATGACCAGAGGTTCTTGTACAGCAGGTCATCGTGGCGGTAGCCCAGGATGGCGTGGCTGCTGGGCGACACATACCGGATGCTGCCCGTCGAGGCGTCGAACTTGGTCACCAGGGAGGGACCACAGGCACACGACGGCTCCATCTAGGTAACAGGGGCAATGATACGGCGAGGTGGCGTCAGGGGCGGCGCCGCCAAGGGAGAGAGAGATGCACCATGAAGCGCGATGAAGGACTTTCTTTGCCTCGGGATTTATGCGGCGGCCTGCAGCGGACCGTGAAAGAGCGGCACGTGCTGAAGTAGTGGAGATAATGAGGGAGAGCGGTAGAAAAGCTCTTTTCTGTAAAGCTCGCAGCCAAGCTTGCAGAGTGATCGAAATCGGCGCCGCTTCCCCCCGAAGTCGCCAGTCCGCAGCTGCCAATGTCACCGTCTTTCCTGATATCGCTTATTTCGGCCATTTTTGCGTCGCATCTTGTGCTACTCGCCGCAGCGTTCGTCCCATCGTCGCTGCCGTCATGCGGGAGGACGCAGGCGCATCGCCTGGCGACGCTGGAAGGCAGGAGGCGTGTTGTGAGGCGCGCCTTGCCCGGCGCGTGGATGATGAGTCGAGATGCACACCCAGCCACCAAGGTACAAAAAGGATGCAGGCAGGTGATGTGTTTGATGGCATGCAGACGTGTGCACGCACTGTGCCTGTGCTTGGGTTTGGTTTGCAGGAGGTTGAAGCGCCTTGTGCAGCAGAAGATGCGCGTGACTGGAAGGTCAGCGGTATCAGGGTGCCGGCTGATGGATCAGCAGGAGCTGCGCCGTCCATCCCGCCAGCCCCATCAAATATGACAACCTCCCCCGTTGCATCCTCCCCCTCTCTCCGCCAGCCATCAGTGTTGAGATCCCTCCTTTCGCCGCCCAGAAGGGGCGATGGCGGTCGGGGCGATGATGGTCCGACCGATGACGACGTCCCATCGCCGCCCCTGGCCAAGCCCCGGCGCGACACGGCCGACGAGGTGCGGAACGTGTTCATCGCCTTCTTTATCTCCTTGATGATCCGGATCTTTGTTGCTGAGCCGCGGTTCATCCCCTCGCTGTCGATGTACCCGACGCTGGATGTGGGCGACAATGTGGTGGTGGAGAAGGTCAGCAAGTACTGGCGGGAGCCCCACAGGGGGGACGTCCTCGTGTTCGTCCCGCCACAAGAGGCTCTCAGGTGAGTGAGATAGGCATGTGGGCACGCAACAGTGGCAATCGGTTTTTGGTGAGCTGTTTGTCGATCAGCTTGAGCGGGTCAAAGGACGACTCGAGCGCCTTTGCACGTCTGCTGAACGGCGGCAAGTCTGACCGGGCCTTCATCAAGCGGTGCGTGGCCGTCGGGGGCGATACAGTGGAGGTCAAGAACGGACGGCTGTTTGTCAACGGAGACCTGCAGGAAGAGAAATTCATCAACGAAGCACCACGGTGAGTGAGTAGTGAGCCGATACAGACAGACACACACAGTCTCCCTCTCCATGCCATGCATCTCTCTCGC